TACCTACTATATAGGGTACTAGAGCTCCTCAGGCCCTGTATACTAGGTACCTGGGGGTTTAGGCTTTTTTGCTTTTGCTGAAAAATGTTCCGTAAAGGATCCAGTGAAATAAACCTGAGCTCTTACACTCCTAAAGTCTCTAAGCCCTAAAGTCCCTAAACCCCAAAACCTTAGAACCCTAAAACCCTGAAGCTATACTATGTTTCTCCCTGGTTCCTAAAGTCCCTAAACCCTAAACCCTAAACCCCTAGAGCTATACCATTTGTTTTCCTCCTTGGTTCCTAAATGCCCTAAGCCCTAAACCCCTAAACCCCTGAAGCTCTACATGTGTTCCTGCCTGGTTCCTTGAAAGCCCAAACCCTAAACCTTAAACCCTAAACCCCTAGAGCTATACATTGTTTCCTGGTTCCTTAAAACCCTAAAGCCTGAACCCTCAACCCCTGAAGCTACACATTGTTTTTCTCCCTGGCTCCTTAAAACCCTCAACCCCTAAACCTAAAACTCTACATGTATTTTCTCCCTGGTTCCGTCAAAGCCCAAACCCAAAATCTAAAACCCTAAACCCCTAAAGCTCTACAGTTTTTTCCTCCCTGGTTCTTTAAAACCCTAAACCCCCAAAGCTCTACATGTTTTCTCCCTGGTTCCCTGAAAGCCCTTCTCCCTAAACTCCTAGAGTCCCCACAGCCTATAAGCCCTAAACCTGAAACCATAAACCCCTGGTTCCTTGAACCCTAAACCCTAAACCCGGAACCCGAAACCCTAAACCCAAAACCCTGAACCCGAAACCTTAAATCCTAAACCCTAAACCCTAAACCCCCGGTTCCCGGAAAGCCCAGGAAGGTTGCTCTCTAAACTCCTTAAAGTCCCTAAAGCCTACACCCTAAACCCTAAACCCTAAACCCTAAACTCATAGGCATCCCTTCCCATTCTGGTTGAAGTTTCGTTCTCATACAATTCATGGTTCTGGATGAGCCCCTAGCAATGAGCAAGTTAGATAAGGGTTCTCGTTGGGAATGTTCAGGTTCTTGATGGGTGTGATTGCTGCGGCATTTGGAGATTCAAGTCATGAGGCATCATGTATGCAGATCAAATGATTGAAGGCTTCAGAAATCAGAATTTCACGAGTTTTGGAGTGTGTGTTGGGTTTATTTAGAGCTTCATCCTGGTGCGCCATTGGCTTCCTCGGTGGTTTCCTCGGCGAGATGGGTCTCAAGCGAAAGATGACTCGGCAGCTCGCCTCAATTATGGAAAATCGGTATTCACACAACAGGGTCGGCGAGGGTTTGCATACCGCACGAACAAAATGAGCTCATATGAAATGATTCATGAGGAAGAGAAATGATATGAGAATGATGAGTCAGATGAGACAATGATCTGATATGATGACACGGTGCGGACTAGCCGCCTGTGGTCAATGATCATGAAATGAAAGAGATGATATGCCGTCCTATGAACGATGATCAAAAGGATGGCTCTTGCATTGAGAGTAGAAGGGTCAACATAGAAAATATGATATGTCATCGAAAGGCAGTAGAATCGTATGAGTCTGAATGAACATAACAATCATTGCCAGGGCGATGTCTTCGAAGTCCGTGGGGGCCGACAGTGCAGCCGACACCGCGAGCCCGCCGTCGGCGAAAAACTTCATGCTGAAGACGGCCGCTGCGAAGTTGAACGAAGCTTTGTCAGGAGCCGTGGATGGTTGAATGATAGGACATGACATGGACATGCATAAATCATGCCCATGTTTGCAAGTTCGATTGCAGGAGAGGACATGAAGAAGGACAAGAAGAAGAAGGATAAGAAGGATAAGAAGAAGAGTCGCATCTCGACGTGCATGTGGCTTATGAATATGCGAGACTGATATAAGCCTGCATCTGCTTCTTCGCCGAGGCAAGAGCAGCTCGACGTCCTCGACCGAGGAGAGTGGCGAGGCGCCGTCGGTGGACGTCCAAGGGGCGCTTGGCTTGCCGAGCAAGGAGTACGCTCGGAACTCCAAACAAAGCAACTTGGATGACCTTTCGGTCAGACAATTGGCATGTGCACTCTCGGGTGTCTATGCCTTTATGCTCCCCTCGGACATGATGGATGTCGGGGGCTCCTACGAGTCTTGGCAGCTGCTGTCTGTTTATAGGGAAGCTTACTAAGTGAGGTGAGCCAATGAGAGGAGTGAGTGAATGAAACAATGATTGATTGAGTGAGTGATTGAGTGAGTGAGTGATTGAAAGAGTGAATGATTGAAAGAATGAATCAATGAATGAATGAATGAATGAATGAAGGCATGACTGCACGAGTGAGTAAATGAGAAAGCAGGCAGAGGTCTTGTTTTCATGACACGCCCACATCCCTGCTGCTTTGGGCCGGTTCAGGGTTTGTTACAGCAGGTTCCGTTTTGGGTTATCAAAAATGATACGGATTTAACATACATACTATTGTTGTGCAATTCCGATGACTTGTTTCTGAAACTTCCAGATTGGCTGACAACGGCCGAGTCAAGTGCTTACACTAAGGATGTTGGGATTGTGTGTGCAGTGTATTGCAACTTAAAATTTGCTATCCCCACCATCATACAGAATACAAGCCGATATGATCTTAATGTGCTTCGCAAGCACCACCCTACTGCAACAGCAGCGACAACAACACCAACAACCTGCTAGCTGCTGAGATCACTGCCGCTACCGCTACCACGACCATTACCACTACCACCGGCACGACTAGAGTTACTTGATAATCATGACATTACTGCTCCTGCTTCTACTGCTCCTGCAGCAACGACGACGACTATTAAGTACCCCAAACTCTGTTCGAATTGCGACTGCCACAGCTACTGCTACTGCTACGGCTCCTACCACCGCCACTACTACCACTGCTACTGGTGCCACTACTGCTGCTGCTGCTGCTGCTGCTGCTGCTGCTGCTGCTTTTCCTACTACTACTCCTAGTACTCCTACTGCTTGTACGACGACGACGACTACTACTACTGCTGCTGCTGCTGCTACTACTGCTACAACTACTGCTACTACTGCTACT